TTTGAAATAGTGGAGGATAAATAAAAAATTATCGGGAACAACTAACGAGAAATTTTTTGTTACAGAAACGCAAGCGTCTAAAGTACTGTACAGAATTGAGGAAGATGGGTATATTTTATAGTCCCGTATGTAACCAGAAAACCGTACATCCCCATGTTCGCAACTTAAATATAAAACTAATTCTCTTTAAAAAAGTAACTTATGTGAAATACTAACCAGTTATATCTTCTTTAGAAACTAAGAACCAATCATATTTTTCTATAAGAACCAGTCGTTTTTTTAAACTCCAATCGTTTATTATCTACAGATTAAACTCACATTGTTAATAATAGAGCCCACATGTTATCCGTTACCATTGAACAAAGAGCATAGCGCGGGGTCAACTTGTCTTAGTTCACAGTACGGACTGTATGGCAGAGGGTGCGATTTTCAAATTCAAATATTTTAAAGTTGTATTTTCGTTTTAATTCGATTTGTAATACTACTTTATATTAAATTCTTATACAAACTAAATATAATCTATACTGTATCGGTCTTTTTTTCGATATAATTCAATTTGCATCATTACTTATGTTAAATACTTATCTCCTGTCTACATTTTTATACTAAATTTATATACTAATTAAAACTAATTAATTTTGTACTCCATCTGTATCAATCGTATACTACTTACAAATATTCGCTATTGGTTTATATTATAGGATTAAATATGACAATTCATAGCCTAAAAGATATTGTATTCCATAAAACATAATTAATGAATCGAAGTTGAAAAAGTAAAGCTCAGCAAAATCAACTAAATAAATGAAATTATTCAAAATTGTGAAATAAGTATTGTGGAACAAGATTCAATAGTAACACTCCATATGTGAATAAAATAAAGACTAAATATTACAGTCGACCCCCCTATAAGATATAGATACGTTCCAATTTATTAGGACCGATTTCTTACAAGTCATTCCAATCACAGCCCGACACGTGTCAAGTTTATGGACTAGGGCTGATTGAAAGGTTTTCTTCCATAAAATTAATCGATTCTACACTAATCCGACTGAACATTTCCAAAATACGTATATTTTTTCGTAGTTTTATAGGAATCGTAATTATAGGGACCGTAATTATAGGGGGGGTCGACTGTATATAAAACATATTATATATATAAATATGGGCATGTCTGTCCCTATGTTTCACTTTTCTGCCAAAACTACACATCGCACGTGAATGTTGTTTATATGTGGTAGTAGCCCCAAGTCTTCATTTGTGCACCAGGGTGGTTGCGTCTCGATAGCTATAAAGGTGCAGGAGATATGGGGCTGAAAGTGGTTGAAAGTTGCTTTTTATTTCGAATGTTTTGTTCGAATTAAATTCGAACATAAAATTTGAATATTGGTTCGATTATAGAACGATTGTAAACGTTCCAGAAACGTTGAAAATAGTTCGTTTTACGGAACGTGAACAGGAGACGTTCAGAAATACGATCGGGAACAGGTATCTAATTAGTCTGGAAACGGGGGACCTAATTCTTGCATTCTGTGAAAACGGATAAGATTGGCTATAATGTAATTATCTTAATCTTCACTGTCGTTACTTTTTAAAAACTAAGCGAAGCGGGTCCTTGCAGCTAGATTCTAGATTACTTAGAAAAACAGTTTTTTATATATAAAAAAATTATATTACATACAAATGTACGAACAAATAAAAACTCAGTGAAGCGGGTCCTTGCAGCTAGTTATTAATAAAAATCCTTATTACATAGACTACAGCTATGGAAAGTTTTGTATAAAGAATTGTTATTATGATTAAAACTTAGAAAAATAAGCATTGCCACCTAAAAAGGCTTTGAGCCCTTTTTTTTGCCTCGAACTTTTTTCATTTTTTCTGCTCAAAATTGCTCTAATGTTTAACCAAATTTTTGAAAGTGCAACATCATTAACAGAGAAAGTAATACTCATACCCTTTCTTTGTGACAGTGTGTATTTTTCTGATTCCTTATCCTGGTGACATTGCTTTTTTCAAATATTTTCTAATTTCAGTCTGCGTGATTTGCACTTTGTTTACATGTTCAATCCATGCTCAAACAGTGTAAACACAAAAAGGTTTCTTGTACCACTGAGCTAGAAAACAAAAAGAACGTTTTTAGGAGATTAAGGAGGCAATTTAGGAATGAACACAACAAGGACATTAAAGTCACATTAGAGATTAGTACAGAATCGAACACGACACTTACAAAACCTTTATAAATAGAACCAAGGACTAACACTTGGCAGGATTTCTCTACTAACACTTGCGGTTGCAACACCTGGTCTGACCGTGCTACTTAACTTGTAAGAAAAACACCAGCCCCAAAGCTCCTCACTATCCATCTCCCTAATAGTCGCTACACCAATAACATTAAAGAAACCATAACACACATTTTCACTAGCCTTTACCCTTCAGATGACAATACACAAGCAGTCATCGGAAGTTCCACACTCACACCACCTAATACAGATATTGACCACAAATTCACCTACATAGGTTTCTAATGCCATCTTTTCTGTCACTCATAACAAAGCGCCAGGTCTTGACAGCATAACCACTAGGCTTATAAAACACGCGTTTGAGACCAATCCTACAGCTTTTGTAACACTCTTCAATATCTGTCCTTATCTATTTATATTGATTGCTGTCCTTTTAGTAATATTCTGTGCTTTGTGGACCATCTTTAGCCAAGTGTTGAAAAGCGTAAACTTGTCTGCTTGAACACTGGCTTTCTTTGTGACGGAAAGTATATATGTTACCGTTAAAGCTCGAAATCCGTTAATGTGCACATTACCTAGCTAATCTGCACATTAACTAGGGTGATCCGTTAAAGTTGCTAAAATTGTTCTATTTCTCAAATTACCCAGGTAATAAGCACAGTATCTAGGTAATCTGCACATTACCTACCAGGCATTCGGTAAAGTGAAAATAAGATTTTTGCTGGAACAACAGCAACGTTTTTGTACGCTTAAATTAACATAATGTTATTTATTTAATTTTCACTATCTAAAGAATCAAGTTAATACAATCAAACAATCAACAAATTAGTTGATTGAATCAATCATTAATCAATTAAAAAAACTTTAATACAAAAATCAAACGGTTTAAAATATTATTAC